TCTCGGCCTCGACCTCGGCCTCGTCGTCGCCGCCGATGGTCGGCATGGACGACCGGCGGTGCTGGCGCGCGGCGACGACGCGCTTGCGGACGAGGAAGAGGAGGGCCGCGAGGAGGAGGACGGCCGCGATGACGACGGGGATGATGATCGCGAGAGAGGCGGACGTGCCGCCGTTGTTGTTCGAGGCACACTTGGGGACGTCGCAGAAGTCCCAGCGGTCCGTTCCGCCGGCGCCGCTCTAAAAAACCTTACGGTTATTTCAAATTTACTCATCACCAGAAACATAACTGCGAAAGAATTAAAGTCGCAACGGTGTGATGAACAATTTTATTTCAGGTTTTTTTATGATAAAAAACCTTATTTCAAATTTACTCGTAATAATTATTTGAAATGTATAGCACCATGAGCGTGAGAATAATGACCCCAAAACTTTTTTTCATACATTTTTGTCATTAATTTTCCATCGAACTTCAACAAAATCGTTCTAGGGAACGCGAAAACACCCTTAGGATTTTACACTATAATCCTCCTTACCTCTCGCCGGAGGTCCGAGGTCGAGCGTTGCGGTGGACCTCGCCGGCGCTCCCCAACAAACAATGAGCAGCCAATATCCTAACTAGGATTACACGCTCCCCAACAAACAATGAGCAGCCAATATCCTAGCTAGGATTACATCGCCGAGAAGGCCGTCCGCCTGATGGAAAACTCATGTGGAAAAGGACTCCACCGCCTTTGGCTTCTCCACGAACCCGGCCCGGATGTTTCGAGTAGACCTTCAGGCGCCGATCGGGAGAACAGTTTAAAGGCCACCGGGTCGGGACCAACGGTGGTTCAAGTTCGCCGCGAGGGGGGACTGAGCGGCGTCCCGCCTCGGGGCGCGAGGCGACGACGGGGGGCGCGGTCGGGTTGGTCGCGCCTCACTTGGGCCCGTCGCCGGGCCCGAAGTCCTCGGGGCGCCGCTTGGGCTGGAGCTTGCCCTTCTCCTTGAGCGAGTCGTAGATCTCGAGCGCGTTGAGGATCGCCTGGTCCATGTTGAAGTACTTGTAGGACGCGAGGCGGCCGACGAAGCAGACCGTGTCCTCCTTCTCGGCGAGGGCGCGGTAGCGCTCGTAGAGCGCCCGGTTCTCCGGGTTGGGCACGGGGTAGTAGGGGTCGCCCTCGGCCGACGAGTACTCGCGCGCGATGCGCGTGCCCTTGACGAGGCCGCGCTTCACGGCCAGCGGCTGGTTCGGCACGTGCTTGTACTCGACGATGCGCGTGAAGGGCACGTCCGCCGACGGGTGGTTGACGACGAAGGCCTCCTGGAAGAAGCCGTCCTCCGGGTCGTCGACGTACTCCTCCTCGAAGCGGAGCGACCGGTACTCGAGCTTCGGCAGGCCCTGGGCGGCGAAGTAGGAGTCGATGGGCCCCGTGTAGACGAGCGTGCCGAACTGGGGCAGCAGGCCCTTGGCCCGCGCGTCGAAGAAGTCGACGTTGAGCTTCACGGTCACGCGCGGGTCCCGCAGCAGCATGTTCTCGAAGATGCGCGTGTAGCCCCGCACGGGCAGCGCCTGCCAGGCGTCCCCGAAGTAGCGGTCGTCCGTCGACGTGCGGCAGGGCAGGCGCATGAGCACGGACGCGTCGAGCTCCGCCGGGTACTTGTCCCACTGCTTCTTCGTGTAGTGCTTGAAGATGCGCTCGTAGAGGAGCGGCCCGACGCGGCTCAGGGCCGCCTCCTCGCCGTTCTGCGCCTCGCCGCTCGGCGGCTTCACGCGCTGGCCCTCGTACCACTTCTCCATGTCCGCCTCGCTCTTGATGTTCGCGTCGGGAAACAGGGCGTTGACCGTCGCCTGCGTCGGCGGGATGGGCACGAGCTTCTGCGTGCCCTCGAAGTCGGGCACCATGCCGCGCACGCGGTGGTCGTTGGCCATCCACTCGCTGAACTGCGTCACGTACTTCCAGACGCGCTCGTACTTGGTGTGGAAGAGGTGCGCGCCGTACTTGGAGCAGCGGATGCCGGACTCGTCGAGGTAGTCGTAGCAGTTGCCGCCGATGTGGTCCCGCACGTCGATGATCAGCGACGTCATGCCCAGCTCCGGGAGCAGCGCT